TTTATCATCATGAAATACTTACTCACTTATGATTGATATACTTACTCATATGAAGAGATCATTAGCTGCTACCACTTTTCATTATGAAATACTTACTCACTTATGATTGATATACTTCCCCATGTGAATGATTGATTAGCTGCTACCACTTTTCATTATGAAATACTTACTCACTTATGATTGATATACTTCCCCATGTGAATGATTGATTAGCTGCTACCACTTTTCATTATGAAATACTTACTCACTTATGATTGATATACTTCCCCATGTGAATGATTGATTAGCTGCTACCACTTTTCATTATGAAATACTTACTCACTTATGATTGATATACTTCCCCATGTGAATGATTGATTAGCTGCTACCACTTTTCATTATGAAATACTTATTTACTCAAGATTGATATACTACCTCATATGAAGAGATCATTAGCTGCTACCAATGTTTCGACAATATGTTGTTTGAGATTTCGGGTTTGGTTTTGGATAGTTTATTTATCCCAGCTGCAAGAAGTACTGTGCCGAGTTCCTCTAGCAAGGCAAGACATTCTAGACCATCGGCACAATTACTTACGACTCGGTTTACAACTCGCAATCCCTCTTTAAAAGAGTAAACGGGGGCTAGTGATCTTCATGATCATGCATTGTCATTTTTTCAGAATCGCTGGAGAAGTGTTTGTTCACCACATCTTTTGTAAACCAGTACGATGCCGTGATGGATTATAGAATCACACCAGCTAATAATTATCTGACTGGTGTTTACAGTGAACATAACAATCATAGAGAGTAAGTATGATCTTCTCTTTTACCCAAGCTCCAAAAATAATTGGGCTGGGCTGGCCTGGCCTGCAGCTACGGTGAACATCCCCTCCCCTCCAAAAAAAAATGTTAATTGTTTCGAGGTAGCAAGAGCATTATTTTGATTCTCCATGAAAATATTATTTTATTTCCCCTGTTCTACTTCAGCGATCCACTACCGTACCCACTCCCCCACCGGATATATCACTTTCCCCCCTGACCTGGTACTGTTAGCCCCTGGACAATCCATCTGCCCCTACCCGACCCCTCAACCTAATGACTCCTAAAAACACCACTGAATCCTTTAATGTTTTCTTTCAAAACAAATTTGATTCAATTGATCGTAATCACGTTTTGTTAATTTCAGAGACAGAATTTGGAGACTTGAAACCTGTACAATTGTTGCCTGAGCTAATCATTTACTTTTATCCGATAGTTATAATTATTTTTCGTTGAGTTAAAAAAAATAAAAATTCTTACCTACAAGAAACTAGTTTGTTCAATCGCCACTTACTCGGAAAGGCTTTTTTCACCCTTGGAGTAGACCGAACCATCTGCCTCTATTCCAGCCTCTGATAGATATTTTGAAAGTTGCTGGCTGATGTAGACAAAAACTGTATCAGAGATAGATGTTCCGGACTAGCATTTTTGAAAAAGGCTACGATATTTCAACTAAGCTTTCAAATCACATTTAAAGATTTACAAATGGCTTTAAAGGTATTTGAAGATTTGTTGAAACGTAGCCTTTTTCAAAATTCGACTTATAAAGTCGAGGAAAGAAATTCAAAATGGCTGTGAACTATGTTCGTCTGTGTCATTTCCACGTTTGAACCATACGTAGTTTCATATGGCTACCCATTGGGCCAATGAAATCAGACAACGTCAGCATCCAACGAGAAATGATACAAGAAAGCGACAATAGCCTACTCCCAATTGATTGGATCAAACTGGCGAAAGATATTCAACGTTCACAGCCTACACTGTGCACATGACGCCTCGGATATTGTTCTACCCATGCCAGCCTCAACCTCATACAGACTGGGGTGGGGTGTTGCCCAACTTACTACCGGAAGCATAATATGGCGCGAAAATAATTGGAATAATAATTCACACAGTGGAACAAACAAAATAAATCGATTTTTAACACCTTCGTTACAGATTGCTTAACTGCTTACCAGGCAAGGGAATATACGCCCACTGGCAGCTTTGATTTTAAATAAAAATATTTAACAGTACAGTAACATTCACCAGTATTAAATATTCAACCTTCAGTCATACATTCTTTTGAACTCTTTAGTTTGATACTGAATGATAAAACCAAGTTTTGTCAAAATCCGGCAAGAATTGTACCTTTTAGTGTTTAAGAGCTAGAATTTGAAACGGACGGAACTTTCACGATAGGCCGTTTAATGATGAAATAATTTATTACTGTTTGGTGTGATAGGGAAATGCGTCTGTACATTTTACAAAACTGTTAATATGCATTAACATAAAGTGATACATTCATGACAAAGTTAATAGTGTTGAAAAGAGTAATTATTTGACACAAAATAAGAAGGAAGAGAGATATTCATCCAAGGTGTTTTCCTCATATCAATAGCATAAAAAGGTGCATAATTATTGAACAGGATGAACAATCTAATCGGGTTGATTATCAAGAGAAAATATTTAAATAGCTAAAGAATACAAAGACCAAATCATGTTAAATTATTTATTGTTAGAAGTGTATGTCTTTAGAAGTAAAGATTTATCTTGCAAAATATGGTATATGTTTTTAATATTTAGTTCACTTTATGTTTGTATTTCTATATCGCTCTATAATTGATGTACTGAACACTATTTTAACAGTGGTATTTCTATGGCGCTCTATAATTGATGTATTGAGCACTATTTTAACAGTGGTATTTCTATATCGCTCTATAATTGATGTATTGAGCACTATTTTAACAGTGGTATTTCTATATCACTCTACAATTGATGTATTGAGCACTATTTTAACAGTAGTATTTCTATATCGCTCTACAATTGATGTATTGACCACTATTTTAACAGTGGTATTTCTATATCACTCTACAGTTGATGTATTGAGTACTATTTTAACAGTAGTATTTCTATATCACTCTACAATTGATGTATTGAGCACTATTTTAACAGTGGTATTTCTATATCACTCTACAATTGATGTATTGAGCACTATTTTAACAGTAGTATTTCTATATCGCTCTACAATTGATGTATTGACCACTATTTTAACAGTGGTATTTCTATATCACTCTACAATTGATGTATTGAGTACTATTTTAACAGTAGTATTTCTATATCACTCTAAAATTGATGTATTGAGCACTATTTTAACAGTGGTATTTCTATATCGCTCTATAATTGATGTATTGAGCACTATTTTAACAGTAGTATTTCGATATCGCTCTACAATTGATGTATTGAGCACTATTTTAACAGTGGTATTTATATATCGCTCTATAATTGATGTATTGATTGCCAAATTGTCCATGTTAATGCATATTTGTAAATAAAAGATGTTTATTGAAAAGATTAAAGCTGCCATAAATTTCGCTGCAGTTTTGGCGACCGCTCGGCTTGTTTTCATAACCGCCACCTTTTTGCATTCAGATGTTGAAGTTGTTCGTCTGTTTATTGGTTGTTTTACCAGCAACTGTAGCTTGGATGACCGAATATGACAAACCTTTTTTGAAAGAATGTCCATCAAAACAGTCCGTATATTGGATTAAAAGTCAACACAGTAATTCCCGTGAGGACAGAGTTTGGGATTACCGTTGCAGACATTCCAGTAAAATATCCACAACTTGTCGAGTGGTACAGTAAGTACAAACAATTCGGAGCTCTACTCCTGTTTTCATATATATTATGTCTATGACAATGACAGAGTTAGAAAGGCCCGAAAAAGAGAAGGCAAAGCCTGACACATTTTTCTTATCTTAATAATATGAGCCAAATCTATTTGGGAGGAGATATGGAATGTTAAAACTGATTTAATTTAATTCATTATATTTTTGCAAAATGAAATTGAAAAATAATCTCCCCTGTTGCTGGAGATAATACGTGAAATACATGTACCAAAATAATCGAGTAGCTGTTAATTTAATGGGACCGATGCACCATTTTTTTCAGCAATCATACTTTAGTCTCAGAAAAGAAAAATTTTTTAGCAAGCCAATCACTGATAGTGTTTGCAGCTCACCGTCTAAATTTGAGCCTTTAAATCCATGTGTGTCCAGAATTATCCGTTTTTGAAATTTAAAAAGACCAGTCGTCTTTTTATGAGACACTGCCATAAGCAGAAACTCCTTGTTTGAGATAAATTTGAAGGAATTAAGCAATTCTCGTACATTTCTAGCACTTCTGAGGACTATTTACATACATTTAAGACTCAAAATGGCGCGCTTTCGACTTCTCATGCTTTTACTACTAATATGCTGGTAGATGTTTGTCAACACTCCTGATATATTTCAGCTGAAATTAACCCGTATGACGGTACAATTTTATTCCAATGTCCAAGAAAGGGGGCCCTTGTTGGTGTTCAGAGCTACCATTCCAATCATCATGAAGATAGAATATGGAGTTTTAAATGTTGTGATGTTCATCTAACACGTGGAGGTAGGGTGGCCATTTTTCACTTTACATCCCTGACCAACAAAATAGAAATTCTCTGAGTCAATGACTCTCAATACGATATTTGAGGGGGGCGAATCGTATGGTCAATACGCCCAGTTGTTCCTGCTAGACTCTCACTTTTCTGAAATTATATTTTGAGATCGTCTTTTTAGTGAAAAATAGTACAATAGATCTCGTTACTCAACGGACAAAATGATTAGTTTATCTATTTGATCAATTGATAAATATAACAGAATTTTTAAATTTTATTTTTAGACTGCCTAGCGAACTGTTTGTTCACCAAATCTTTTGTAAACCAGTACGATGCCGTGATGGATTATAAAATCACACCAGCTAATAATTATCTGACTGGTGTTTACAGTGAACATAACAATCATAGAGAGTAAGTATGATTTTCTCTTCACAATGTCAAGCTATTACAAACTGCGTCGTCTAAAAACTACGTATTATTTGGCACTTTTCTTGTATTAATAACTTTGTGCATGCTGCAATTTGATTGGATTGTACGCTTGCGAATACAGCCAATCGGAGCCCTCGATTACTCGTGGAGCCATTTTGATTCTAGTCTTTCTGTCGAAGGCTTCTGATTGTCTGTATTTGCTTCCATGATACAAGAAAAGTGCCATCAATATTAAAATTTTGAAGATGTCTTGCCCATACGCTATAATTCATATATTGCAAATTTAACATCCACTAGCTGGTTGGTTGGTAGAGGACAGTAAACTGTCAGCACAGATTATCTGAGAGCCAGACATCCGGAAACTTCATGGCAAAATCTTGTCACGTAAAAAAAGGAGTTGTATGCCCATTTAATCATGAACGCATGTAAATGTTTCTAGTCCATAACTAAATTGAAAAATAATGTAAAAATTCGACTGATATTAGGCAATGCCAAAGACTATTAAGCCTACGACTTTGTAAAACCAAAAATCGTGCCTACTTGCAAGTCACATTTAGGGGGTGTAGTCCTCCCCACACTTAAATGTATTCTTTCAAAACAAAAATCGATATTGATTCAATTAATTTAAACCACTTTTTGTTAATTTCAGGGACCGAGTTTGGAGATTTGAAACCTGTTCAATTGTTCACTGAGCTAATCGTTTTCATCTAGTTGACAGCATTATTTTTTTGTTGAGTTAAAAAAAATAAAAATTCAACCCAACTTTTAAAACAATAAAAAATAAAAATTCTACATAACTTCAAATATTTATTTCAAATTTTGAAATTTAAAAGATGAAATAGATTCCAATAGCCAAGAAGCTGGAAGGGCGCACATTCTAGTTGAGTTGATTTTAGGATAGGCTAGATTACTATCATGTACAATATATACAGAACAATCTGCAAACGGACTGCCAGTGTCAGCATGATAGGGCACAGTGACAGGATACTCGTCAATATTCTGGAGCTTCGGTTCCCTTGTTAAAATTCTCCCACCCCCAGCTTTCACCAGGTCTATCAATTCTTCTTTCTCTGGCGTCGGGTATTCAAATATTCCATGGAAATAAAATTGACATCCATCGAAAAATCCAGGCAACTTAAAAGAAATTCAAGCAAATTTATATTCTTGAAGACTAAATGGAGATAATTTATATCGCTGAAGACTAAAGGGAGATAATTTACAAGTACTAGCAATCCGAAAAACCAAATGAAACCCAAAATCAAAAACAATACATTAATAGCAGACTTACAAGTTAGGAAACCAGCACTTTTCCTTTCTGAAATTATCCAATTTTTTAAAAAGTTTTTCCACTAAGGAACATACCTGATCTTTTCGATTTTGACGTCCTTTAAGGGGAGCATGAGAATCTGGATTGGTGGAAGATCCTGGAACTTCAAACCCTTCTTCAGCCACTCTTGTACCAAACTCTTGACATGTTGCTACCCCTAGAATCAAAACACATAATCAAATGAAATGGAATGGAAAATCCTACTTCTATCTATCTTTTAGGCCATATGAAATGAAATGAATGGAGTTTTACTTCCTTTTCTGCACCATGTGGGCTAATGAAGACGGGCAACGACATGCAGCCAAGACAGTAGCATTAATTAGTCCAAATGAAGAAACAATAATACAATCAAATAACAGAACAGTCTTATGGTATACCATCTCCTGGGTCACGTGGATGGGTCACAACACAAGATCTAAAAATATTGACACCCACAGATAATAAACGTCAAGTTGTTTGCTGATCACAAAGTGTGAAACTCTAAAGTAACAGGTTTCATTTTAATATTTCTATTTTAATATTTCTATTTTAATATTTCTATTTTAATATTTCTATTTTAATATCTCTATTTTAATATCTCTATTTTAATATTTCTATTTCTAACGTCAAGAACAACAAGAATAATTCAGTTGATATTTTTACTTACACTCCATATTAACAATCCACTTGCCGAGTAAAATACCACGTAAATATTTTAACGTTCTTGGACACATTCCGTGTCTGTTACACTTGGTTATAATGTGGGTAACTGGAAGGTATAAAATATCAATGTATAAATGAAGGAAGCAACATAGCCTGTTATTTCAGCACCCTTAGGCCTTCAAACCCATGTCAAACTAGGCTTGGTTCTTGTCCTCACCCTACCTTTTCTCAATGTTTTCATTGGTTCTATTATCAACAAAATTTTTTCAAAAATATTTCTTGAATCTAAATTGCAGGGTTCTCAGACCTTGTCAAATGGTCCAACCCCTCAGTCTGCCTCAGTTTGTAGTTAATTTGTCAATGATTTTCATAAGCATACAATAACCAAATATTGGGAAGCACTGACTCACTAAAGCTTACCTTCAGGACAGAAGTCTTCCACAACTTTAGCCTGCAGCATAGAGGCACATTTCTGAAGCTGTATTTTCTCATCTCGAGTGAGACCAGTTCCGAGAAAACATATCATTTGATAATTCTCTTCTTCTTCGATCTATAAACAAGACATCCATTTTTATCAATTTTATCAATTCTTCAGTTAAAAAAGTTGACTATTCTCCGGTATATAAGTATTGTGGACATTGTTGGAGCTCTTTTCACCTTGGCACTGATTGGACGATTTTTAGTTCCCACTCTAGTCCTGCCTTCCGTGAACATAAAATCACACTGGACACGATATTTAGGCTGAAACTGTTGTTGGTGTAGTGAACAATTTGTCACTAGGTTACAGCATGATGCTCAGAGACTGATGGGGCAAGTCTGTGCCAGTCTCATTTTGGGTAAGATTGTATGATTGAACTTATTATTTGGACTAACCTGTTGACAGCTGTCTGACATCTGTGAATCAACTGGTGTTTCTAACGCCTCCCTCATGGCGTCGCTCATTGCTAGATCTCTTGGTGTTATTCCATAGATATTTCTATATCATAAATCAAGTGAAACATATTTCAACATCACTATCACATAAGCTGCTAATTATATCTAAGGACTTTAGCGATAGTGACGTCAAAAAATACCCAATTTTTTATGCAAAATCTTAAGTCATCTGACAGGAAATTGGAAGTGTGAAAATTGATGCTATCAGTATGCATGATACACATAAAAAATTTAGAAAAACCTATTCACAATCTCTTTAACAGAATGAAAGCAGACGTCTGATCGTACAATGAACCTACCTGGACGATAGAGCAGCTCCCCTAGATACCAGTAGTCTCACACAGTCCAGTCTGTTATTGTTAATAGCATCATGTAGTGGGGTATCATTGTCCAAGCCTGGTGTGTTGATCATAGCTCCATGATTTAATAACAATTCCGCTATTTTAACATGGCCATGATTGACAGCTTCATGCTGGAAAAAAAAAAATCATCTGATGAAATGAATACTACTTGGATGACCAAAAACATCATTTCTTAAACTTGGTCAATAAGAGTGTCAATTCATCAGTGGAATACAAAAAAATCTCCCTTTAATACGATAAATTCATAAAATTATGAAATTTTCAAAACCATTACTTGTTGTTTAATGAATTATTACATTAGTTTTATGGATTTATTGTATTATACAGTCATTCTGATGTCTAGTTATGACACCAGGTAAGTACACTGATGAACCTAAAATCTTAGTGATAAAGAAAATCTTTTATTAGATAAAGCAATTGATTGATATCTATCTTCAGATCATGGATAAGAGTAGAGTCACCCCTAAAAAAAGTTAAAAACATAAATTTGCATTTTAATCGTATTGAGAGGGTGCTAGTCACTTCTGGATATCTGTACTAATTGGTGTATAAAAATATTTATAATTACCAAAGGAGTCCAGCCTGCATTCTCTCTGACATTTGTACTGGCACCATTTGTTAATAATTCTTCTACCTTCCCATAATCACCCTGTTATCAAAATTATATCATTAAAACATGAAAGAAAATATTCAAATTCTACAATCAAAGGGGTTGTAAAGAGGTTTTCAAGCTTGACCTTAGTAGCACAATAGTTGCTTATAAAATCTCAGAGATCTTTGTCAGAGCTACCATAGTTCAAAAAATACTTAGTTTTGGATTGGATTGCCCTTGATACATTTTTTTTATTAAAAACATTCTCTACACCGTTTTATTAAAGAAATACCTTGATAGCTGCCACATGTAATGGTGTCTCTCCTTTAGCATTTCGTTTAACTTGAGATTTACTAGCTGATCGTCCACTACTGGTTAACGAAGTATTAAGACCAGGTGTACTTGGTTGTACGGTACTTCTTTTGCTCTTAGGAGTAGATTTTGGCGTCTCCACTTTTGAACCTCTCTTGTTTTTATACAGAGGTGTTAAGTAGCTGTCACTATGGTTACTAATTTTCCCCTTCTTACTACTCTGTGGTGTTGCCGAGTTGGCTTCAGGTTGCTTAGTACTAGACTTGTGTCCCCTTGAGGCAACTCTGCGCTGTGGTCCAGTGGCTGAAGAAGCTGATCTACCCTTTGACCTTGACCTAGTACGTCCATGTTTTAAAGTCTGGGGAATACAATGTCTACTTCTCATTTCTTGTATCAAATCTTCTTTACCTACAATTTTACAATCAAAAAATAAATACCCAGTCCTTAGGGCTATGACAGCAAACAACATACAGGTTTTAGATACAATAGAAAGTGCTCAATACACTTATTATAGAGCAATTTTGAAATATTGAAACAGAACTCGAATCCAAGTGTTTCATAACGTCACTTTTCCAGATGATAAGCACTAATAATATATAAAGACCTTTGCGATAGCTACATTATAAAACACAGTGGAATTGTGAGAACCACTGACGTCTGACTGAAAATTGGAATGATGCACATCAATGCTATCAGTGTTCCTGATACACATACAAAGTTTAGGAAACCTCTTTACAATCCCTGTTATTAGTATCAGTGATTATACAACTACAAAAAATGGAAAACCTCTAAAAGTCATAGATACAGAGGTATCCCTTTCATTGGCAATATTCATTGATAGAAGATTGGTACAATATTAAATTACTTTCAATAGATGGGACATAATCTGAGCCTTCTTTACTATCCTTAAGGATCTTCTTCATCATCATCAACATCATCATCATCTGCATCATAAAACTGGGTCATTGTGGTTTGATCTGGGATTTTTCTCTCTACAACACGGGTATTCTTAGAAGATTTAGGTTTTGTGGCATTCTCGTATAACTCTGGTTTTCCATTAGCGTTCAAACTCTTCCTTTTAGTATTTCTGACATTAGGTTTTGTGATGTTTTTGATACGGTTTGCTGTCAATTTTGAGTTGTGGTCTTCATGGCTGACCTCTATTGAGTCACTCCCTGGTCTAGTATTAGTAGACTCTGTCAGTGGTACATGAATCTGAGGAGTACATTCCAGCTCTTCTTGCAAAGACGCTGATGCTGAAAATATTTGAAAAAAAATGGCAGATTTAAACAAAAATCTCATACCCATGAATAAATTAGTAGCTTGTAGATTTAGAAAGCCTCAAGCAGCAAGTGGTGGAAAGTTGCCGATCTTTAAAATTTGGAAACCAAAAATAAAAAAGTATAAATTCCATTTTAATGTTTTTCAATACCAATACAACATTACGTACCGTACGACAGAGTCACAGACCATGCGTTTCTTTGTTGTCCAAAAAGCATAATAAAACTTTACATAAATTACCTGATTTTAAATTTTTAGCATTCAGACTAGGTTGACCACGTAATAATATATTTTCTAATTCTTGACACAAACCAACAATATTTGTCATAGGTCTATTAACAGTGGCATCTTTAACATGTGTTGGTATAGAACACACTGGACATTCATTTCCCAATAATCCATCGCAGCATTCTCTGGAATAGATGTATAAGGATAAAGCTAGAAATAGCTTATAGGATGGAAAAATCCAGGCCTGTAGCCTTCCCCACTCTCACTCCTAAGAAATTTTTAAATATGTTTTACTTAAGTGCCTACCTAAGTGCATCCAATCTTCAAGTTCATATCACATGGTTTGGATTGTTAGTTTATTTGATCAAATTGGATGTGATATATTTATTAATCTAATTAAAATCCAGATAACTCCATATGAAATACCCAGCATGCATTATTTTGCCCCATTCATATTCATTGCCAAATATTTTAGCCTTAACTTACCTACAGAACATATGCTCACAGCTCCCTAAAGTGTAGAGGCCTTTACTTAATTCCTCACTGAAATAACAAAACTGATATTCTACAAACACAGAAATAAACTGAAAGTAGCCAAAAACAATTTCAAATCATTAGAGATACCCGTTTAAGGATAAGTAAAGAAGAATTCTAAGGCAACATCGTTAAAAAGAACATTTAACAGGGTTCTAGGTATTCATTAATCCCACAGCACAAGGTCCGAAGATGACAGATTATCAGGCCCTTGCCCTTCATTTGCTATATTGTATAACTATAGTGTGTTCACACCATTTCTTGCATTTAAGAAGATTTTGCAGCTTCTGTAATCTGGAAAATGTTTTGGAATAGTTTCGCAGTTCTGTCATATCGGTTTCAATGCACAATTCTACTTTAATTAATCAAAATATACAAATTTCATTTAAAAAATAATTTAATTTCGCGCAAAATGTCTCAACCGGAATGCATACTATAATAACCTCCTCCAGTAGAGAGCATCTAAGGGGAGTAACTCATGACCTAACTTAGTACTGTAGACAGCAGTAAAATTAATAAAAGCGTGTATGAAATACGATTCATATGCATACTGTGGTGGTTAAACTATTCTTCTGTTTTCAAGCAGTTTTTATAAGAATAAGTTAACAAAAAACAAAACTTTATTTACTCTTGGGACTATCTCTTATATAGTAGAGACATGTATAGCAAAAAGGACATTTAATTCATAGTTTGAGATACTTTTGAAGGAATTAGGAGATTTTCGTACATTTCTAGTACTTTTACAGACTATTTTATATATTAAAGTCCCAAATCAACCTCAGAAAATGGCTGATTTATCCCTTTGATTAGATTGTTTGCCTGTCAGTCATTTTACATAGACCAAGAAGAAGTTAATTTCGTATCACTAAAAGCTTTAGCCATGTTTTCATAATAAAAAGATATTGATACCATTAAAGTCGCGATTAGAAAAGGTAGACCTACCCCCCCCCCCCCCTCA